ATCAGGGTAAAAGCACAGTACAGTGCAGTACAGCCCAGTGAGATCAGGGTGAAAGCACAGAATGGTGAAGTGTGATGTGCACCATCAGTATCATCATGGTAAAACCGTGGGAGAAATACCGCGTGAATAAACCACACCTCAGCGTTGGTTAGAGTTGTATCACAAGCCACACACACAGCACAGACTGGTCCCACGTGTTCGAACACAGGCAGGTAAACCCATACAGCCCCTGCTGAAACTGCAGGCTGCAGGCGGGGGGGACCCGGGCGAACCAGATACTCACTGCGCCCCTTCATCCTGATCTCCTGGATGATGGCCTCGTAGTCGAGAGGGCTCTTGCTCTCCGCGAAAACGAACTCCTCGGTGGTGATGTTGACCTTGTCCAGCTCGGTGTACAAGCCCTCGATGGCGAAGTAGCAGGGCCGGTCGTCCATCTTCTCGTCGGAGTAGATCAGCATGGCGCGGTTCGTCCACTTGAAGTGCTCCTGGATGTGGCAGGTGCACTCCCCCAGCTTCTTGTGGGTGGGGCCCGTGTTGGTCATCAGCGAGTAGGTGCTCTTTTCGTTGAAGAAGCCGTAGGCCGCCGCCCCCGCCGTCACCATGGGGACGCCCCAGTGCGAGACGAAGCGACCCACGGGGGCCGCCGCGTAGTGGCAGCCGGGGCCCACGAAGGCCCAGGGGTGATGGGCGAACTGCAGGTCCACGGCCATGAGCGGGGCGATGTAGTCGGAGCAGTTGCCCCCGTCGTCCTCGCTGTTCTCCATGAAGTAGCGCACCTGGTAGCCGGGCAGCAGGTGGGGGTCCCTGCTGATGCGCCGCAGGGCCAGGTGGAGGGCGGGCCCCACGCGGGGCCAGGCCCAGGGGTAGGCCGTGTTGTTCCGCGGCAAGATGACCGCCAGGGTCACCTCCCGGGAGGAGCCGCGGGCATCGCTCTTGGCCTCTCGGTGGCAGGCCGACTTGGACTGGACCGCGTCCGACCGGCAGCCGAGCAGCAGCAGCACCAGCAGGGGCGGGAGCAGGAGCCGACCCCCGGTCCGCCAGCCGCCGCAGGCCCTCATCGCCGGCTGGCTCGGGTGACCCCCTAAGTCAATCGCTGGAAGTCGCCAGTCAAGCGATAAGCCCAGGTAGGAGAGGAAGCAGCCCAGGCCACAGTTTCAGTCTCACCCCGGGATGCTGCTCCTGTGGCGGTTCTCGCTGTCTTTTCCTTCAGTTACGGGCTCTTGGCTTTTCCAGCTGACCCATCTGCCCTGTGGACGTGCTTCGCTCGCGGCGCGGGCCTGGCGCAGGTCAGGCCTGCTGGTCGGCCGGTGAACGACCCGGGGTTCTGCGCGCCGCAGTGACCGCCGGCCTCGACCTCTCCCCGCTCCAAGGTTTCCGGCGGCTCTCCGAGCGAAGCAGCAGAATCCGGAGCGCCGGGCTGGGCCGAGACGTCACGCCAAGCCTTGGAGTGCCTCAGGCAGCCAGCGGACACAACCGCCAAGGGGCAATCTGGAGCCGCATCTGTGCAGAAAGTTTTCTCACCGGCCACTTCTGTTTTCGTTTCTGCGCGGAGGGCCCTCCCTCCCCGCTATCTACAGCTGTCAAGTGGACTATCAATCTTTCTGTGCGCTGGAGAGAATTGCAACAAATTAAACTGGGCTGCTTAAAACAAACACCCCCTACCGCCACCCCCCCCCAAAAAAAAGCAGGTTTTACTGCTTGTGTGACCAAAAGATTCCAGAGAGATGGAACAGAAGCAGATTCTTTAAAAGCGAAATTCAACCTTCAGGAATGCAGCTCCTGCTCTAACAAATAAACACAAACAGAAGATGCAAGCGCACAATATATAAAACCTGCATGAGTACACGTATAGTGGAAGACAATTAAAAAATGGCTCTCAGAACTGGCCTCATTCCCCGTGAGTCACTGGAAATGCAGAGAAACTGGTGCTGCCTTCTCAGGAGTTCAAATCGCAGATCTTATTCTCTCACTCTCCTGTAAGGCTGAAACAGTAACCCTCTACGCTGAACACTCGGATGCTGCCATGCTCGTCCACTTCACTGAGATTTCACAACCTGAATGGCTCACACACAACACATCATTTCTCTGGAAATTCTTCAAAGACAAAAAAAAGTCTCGCCGAATTAATAATCGCATTGATTTTTTTTCCCCTTAGTGATCTCAAACTCACCTCTCGCAGCTCTGTGATGGCAAAAGTCAATTACCTCAAATAGGCGAGTTACCGCTCCCCGTGTCTGATCCTTGTGTCAGTATAAATCCAGGGATTTGTAGATAACATCTCGCAGTTGTTCCCGGCTTGGCAAACGGCTGGAAAGCGTTGAGATAAGAATTAAAAATTGGCTGCAGAGCTCCGCTGACTGAGAGTGGCGGAGCTACACGCTGATCCAAGGCATTATTTGCACAGAAGCAGCACTCAAATGTAAACTGTCTCCAGGCAGGTTGGCCAGCTGCGGGGGAAAAGTCTGGATGCCACAGTGCTCGAGAGATCCAGGGTTCGAAGAAAAGTTTCAACAGAAATTCCAGTGCATTTCTTTCGGGTCTTTGAGATATTCAGCTGATCCAGTTATGCGTGCTGCAGACCTTCAAGGGAAAGTGAGCAGTTAGAGGGCACACACAACCTAGGACTTTATATATACATAGACAGATAAACTCAGCCAAAAGCATCTGATCCGATTTCTCAGGCGCAGGAGTCGCAAGCAAATCCTCTGGTTACTGCACAAGAAAGCCGCTTTCGAGACGCCAGCCCTGGACTCGGGGAAAACAAAATAAAGGAAACACGAAACAGCCAAACCGATAAGTCAGCAGTACGCCGGGTCAGGACCGCCTGATCCAAACGAGAAACAGAGGCGACTCAGGTTTCACGTCCCTGCGCAATCCTGACGGCTTCAGCCATCGCAGTGCGGAGAGGGAGAGAGAGCAGGATTCGCACCAAAAGTCCCCCCCAACTCCGAAAAAACAACAACTAGAAAGTGTACAGAAGTTTAAAAGAAAACGAGCAAATATGCAGTCTCAGGAAGTGTGCCGGCAGAGCTGCGCTCTGCAGGCAGGGCAGCGAGTGAGAGCAGAGAGACGCACTTCGGGGGTTTTCTGCGCTCACCTCAGAGCCGGGGGCTGCTTCAGGCAGAAGGCAGGCTTTCCAATTCCCTGCCTCTCAGGCAGCTGCTTTTCCATGACAGCAGCGGGAGAGAGCGAGAGAGAGAACAGAGCGAGGGAGAAGCAGGAGGTGTTTTAAGGCTTCCAGTCTCTCTCTCTCCACTCCCCGTTCTCTGTCACTCAGAGGGCTGACGGCGGCGGGGCCGGTCTTGCGCCAGCGGGCCTGAGGGTGGCGGGCCGGGCTCAGCGGTACCGGCGCTGCTTGCACGTGGCGCGGCGCTGGGGTCTGGCAGCGGGGCCTCTTGGTACGGGCCCTGCGGCGCTGTGTGGTGGCTGGGCAGCGAATGGACTCCTGGCACCGAGTGAGAGGAATGTGGTTACTTGTCATCTGTGTGTGTGGCGGGTTGGGGGCTTCAGCCCTGCCGCCCCAGTGCCCCGTGCGTACGGTTCTGAGCGGCGGCAGGCGTTGGCTCTGCAGTCTCCGCGCAGCCAGGATGGGCTGAACGACAGGAGAGAGGCCAGGCCTGTGGCTTAATCTGTGTGCAGTGGCGCTTGCCGGGCACCGGCGTGGAGCAGTAAGGTGAGTGATGGCCGTCGTGCCGCGTGCGGGGTGTAGGGGCTGAGCAGGGCACGGTGTGTTGAAGTTTACAACAAGGTGTGAAGAGTGCGCTCTGTGTGGGCCGAGCAGTGTGAGCAGTGAGACGTGTGTAAGGGCTCAGCAGGCAGTATCTCTCCCTTACTAGTCCCTCTTCCTTCCTGTAAAGACGTGCTGTCGCCAGCTAGCGTCTTGCTCTCCGCTCCTCCGGGCTGCTCCTCCTCAGCTCCTCTCCTCGCAGGCTGCTCGTGTGCGGCGTGTTATTGTGTTCCTCCACTTCCTCCCCTCCCCGCCTCGCCAGGCTCCGGCTTGCAAAGCCCCTTCCTGCCGGCTCCCCGCTTTTCTCCTCCTTCCTGCTCTGCTCCCTTCTGTCTCTCCCTATCCCTGCCCCGAGCCGGACGCAGACCAGACCCGGGCCGGGATCCAGGGAAGGGTCCCGGTGAGCAGACACCTCCAGCGAACTGACTCTGAACTGAGGACGGGTCCCTCCGGAGACTGAAATGAATCTGCTGCCACGTCCATTTCCCTACCTCCTCTCCCCCCCCCAACAACCCCAAACTACTCCCCCACCCCTGTCGCCGCCAGATTTCAAAACTGCCGTGCGCTGCAGGATCGTGTTTCCACAACAGGATGCAACACAATAATCTGCCTCTCTCGCTCCTTTCCCCTTTAAGTGATCCGCGCGTTCCTGGCCGCAGGAAAGATGTTATCCCTTACCCTCTCCTCATCACCTCTCCCCTGGTTCCCTCCAGGTGCGGCGCGGACTCGCGGGATGAGACAATCCTCTACTCTTTACCGGTGGCGACCTCCTGGTGCGGCCAGGACCCGAGCGCGGGTCTTCCTCTGAGCCTGCCACATTCAAGTAATGGATCTGCTGATGGGACTAATGAGTCTAATCGAAAACCCCCTCTCTCCTTCCCTGCCTGCACGGCGCTCCCCTCTCTGCCGTCTGCGATTCCCGGCGCCGGCTCTCCCTTTCCCATGTGTCAGGCGAGACCTTCCAGCCGGAGGGAGCGCGGCCGGCGGCGGGGCTGCGGGGAGAGGGAGGAGAGAGCAGGTCCTTCGCCCGCGCTGGCTGCCTCTCGCTGTCGCTCGCCAGGCAGAGATCGCTAAGCAATTACTTCCCCACCGCCTGCCCTCACCTACTCCTGCTCCAGCACAGAGGATGCGGCTGCACTGATAACACTTCACCGCTGTTGACGCGTGTAGGAGTTAGAAAGCCATCGGCTCATTTTCTCTCTGTGCTTCTGAGCCCCCCTCCTCCTTTCCCCTCCCTCCCTGTTGGTATCGGTTAGGCAGGAAAAAAAAGGGCAAATGCTGGATTCCTCCCGTGGCTCTCTCCGTGCTGAATGACTCCTGACAGACACAATCCAGCTCCTCGCTGACAAACTCTCCTGCCTTAACCCTGCGAGCGCTGGGCCGCTGCTGCTCCCGTCGATTCTGGATCGGCAGCAGCTAGTGGCTGCGGGAGAAGAGAAACAACGGTTAAGGAGAGCAAAGGCTCGGGCTTCTGCTCCTGCTCGGCACTGCCTTTGGAACAGCTGGAACGGCTCCTAATTGCAATAGTAATGGATCAATGAGGGAAGGGTTTGCAGTGTACTGCACTGGGGGTTTTAAGTTACAGACCTACTGCATGTTTGTTTCCTCTGATTCACACATGAATGATTCAGAGATAGTTTCTGTGCGGCTGCCTCTTTCGAAGAGGCGTGAAAGAGCGAAGGGCAGGGGGCTGGGTTGAAGTGCTCTACCCGGACCAGCCCTGCAGGTTCCATTCTTAATTTCACACAGATCTGCGCTCGCCGAGGTCCCGACTTCACAAGCAGCAAGATCTCTATCTGCAAGTGCAATACAGATGGGGATGTCCTTGGCAGATCCACTCTGCTGGGGATGGTCAGGAAGATGAAGAGCTGGGCGTGGAGAATCCACCAGGAAGAGCCTGTGGCTTTGGGAACGGAGGCTTACGCGCGTCTGTAACAGAACCGTGCCCTTTCTCCAACGGGCTTCAGTGCGTCTGCACTGAACAGTGTGCGATTCTCAGAGAAAACAATTCTGCGTGGTTTTATGAGCAAATGTAAATACTTAAAGGTATACGTCCAGCAAGAAACAACACAGGTGAGCAGCAGGGCCTGCTGCCATGTCGCCCAGGACACACCCATGTGAAGCAGTCTACAGCGCCAACGGCCACACGGGACACTGCCTTTTTGCCACAGGACTGTGGTACGCACGCTGTTGTAGGGACACTTCGTGCATGTAGACCTATATCATAGACTTTACCACTTCGCTTTACTATAGTTTTTTTTGCGGGGGGCTGGGGGGGGATGTAGAGCACGTATCCCATTTAAAAATCTTTTGGTATTCAATGTGTATGCATATATATAGAGAGCAGAATCAGGACCACAAGACCCGCCAACTCTGTACCTTTGGAACTGAATGGACACATACAGTATATGAAATAAAATACATTCCTGAGAAATCAGTCAATATGGGGTGGAACAGTGGCCAGCATTGCTGCCTCGCAGCACTGGAGCCCTGGGTTTAATTCCTGGGCTGCTGTCTGTGTGGAGCTTGCATGTTCTCCCTGTGTTTGAGCGGGTTTCCTCCGGGTGCTCCAGTTTTTCTCCCACCAGATGGTAGGCTGGTAGTGCAACTGCCTTCTGGGAAAACTGGCCCTGGTGTGAGTGTGTGCCTCTCTGCGTCTGTGTCCGTGCCTGTGGGACGCACTGGCGTCCCCGTGAGGCTGTACCCTGCCTAACAGAGCAGGCTCCGGCACCCCCCGACCCTGAACTGGAAGAGGCTGTTTGAAAATGGATGGATGGGAAAAAAACAGGACGAACACTACAGCTGGCACATGTAGAAAAGGATGGAAATGCGCCGATAGCTTGCACCTGTGTCTGCCCTTAGCCTGTGAGCCTCCACAAGGCTGTGGACCTGATGCGGGCACTCTGGGTGGCCCTGAAAGGCACGGAGGAACGCCAGCCACCCTGAGCTGCTGCTGCCGCGGCCCGCCTGTGCATCGGCGATCAATTAAGACATCTGAAAGTGCCTCACCTCGCGCTGCGTCACCACCGGCCCCCGGTACGCACCTGCCGTAACCCAGTAATTATCCAGGCGACGCTAAATGCCACCTCGAAGCGCCACTCTGAATAATTATACAGCCTGAGCCTGGGGAGCCTGTCCCTGAGGGGGAGGGAGATGCAGAGACATTCAAAACGGAAGATTGAAGGGACTACAATTTCGGTCAGCGGAGGTCCAGTTCTCTCTGGCACCAGACAGCAGAATTGCTCGTCAAAAAAGCAAAACAATAATTCGTAGACATTCAATTGAATTTTTTTTT